TAGGGTTGCACAGATACCAAGTACAGTACTCGGTACAAGTACGAGTACATGTACCAATACTTTTGAGCTCCAAGACTAGACTAAAGAAAAATTCATAAGTTAGGAGGCAGCTGTCATGTGTAAGGAGCACATGGAGCTCCTGGGATTTGTACATCTCTGTTTTAATGTACGATTTTGTTTTTATACATATAAATAAAGGGATGCACAGATACCAGTTTTGCGAGTACGAGTACTGGTACTTGCCGAGTACTTACAAGTACGAGTACTGATACATTTTTGTTTATTGTCATGTGACAGTTTTTCTAAAACAATACAGACTAATGATTTCAGGACAATGGTGGAGCACCAGAGCCAGGCTCCAGCTGCAACCGCTGCAACCCTGGTAGTTCTCATGAAAATGCCAAGTATCTGCACTGGTACTCGAAAAGTATCTGTGCATCCCTAATATATAAATATATATACTATATGAAGCGGCAAAATTATTCTGTATGGCATTCTTGGCACGCTATGAGCTATGTGTAATGATAAGGATCTCAGTTTGTATCTAAAATAGTTTAAGGGTATGCATTGCCATGACAAGCAAAGTGGATAGCATAGTGGCTAGCACTTCTGCTTTGTAGCACTGGGAGACTCTGGTTCAAATCCCAGTCAAGACATTGTCTTCAAGGAGTTTGCATGTTCTCCCTGTGCTTGCATGAGTTTTCTCCATATACTTCAGTTTCCTCCCACACTCCAAAGACATGGTGGAAGGTTAATTGGCTTCTGTCTAAATTGTCTCTGTATGTGTCAGCAATAGAGACCCTAGATTCAGGAGGGGAGGGGAGGGGGGGGGGGGAATGATCGGAGAGAGATTCAGTGGCTTTCAGCCATTGATCTCTCCTCTGATCACTGGATCCGGAAGTGATGTGTATTACATCACTTCCGGTGTCACTCTTACAGTCTCTGGCTTCGGCCAGGAGAAGAAGCTGGGAAAGCAGATCTCTGCTTCTTTGGGGTCCCTAGGTGACATCAGGGGTCTGAAAGACCCCTGAAATCACCATAAGGAGGACCTGTCACACCCTATATGCTATTAAATAGGGTGCTTGTTAGCCCCCTATGTGATAGCAATAAGGTTAGTGTAAAAAAAAAAAAGATTGTTAAAAATAAAAGTAAGACATAAGAAAAATAAAAAAGTCCCCGCCCCCCACGTGCACACAGACACACGCAAACTTGTGTTAATGTGCCTACATGCGAAAACGACAATTGCGCTACCAATGTTACATATCGCCGCAAATGTCGGAGTGAGAGCAATAATTCTAGCGCTGTCAATCACTGTTAGCACTAAAGTGATGAGCGGTAACATCATTTAAAATGTTCCCTATGGGAAATTTTGGGTATTTTTTTGAGTGATCACGGGCGAACACAATTTTAAGGCTTGACATGTTTGGTGTCTATTTACCCGACGTGACCCCGTCTTTCATATTTTAACACAAAATTATATTCTGTTTCTGTGCACTAAATTTTAATTTGATAAACATTTGCGGAAAAAACGTGCTACATAAAAAATTGCAACTAGCATTTTTTTATTCTACAGGGCCTCTGCTTTCAGAGCATATATCATTGTTTGGGGGTCTGAAGCTTTTTTCTAGCCAAACATTGGCTAGTGGAGCCCCCACTACCCACCTGGGAGCTACCACAGAGCCCCCACTAATTATCAGGGAGCCCCCACTGGCCACCACAGATCCCAAACTGACCAGCAGAGAGCCCGCACTGACCACCTGACAGTCCGCATTAGGACTAAATTAGAGAGCCTAATTAGGGAGCCGCCTCTACTGCACCCACACGTACCGGTGAAACTCTCTGGACCCCTGGTGAGAGCCTGCACAGCCCACCTGAGAGCCCACACTGGCCACCTGAGAGACCGCACAACCTCCTGAAAGCCTGCACAACCCTCCTGAGACCCTGGAGATGTCAGGTGGCGAACCCAGAGCAGCATAGAATATGTAGCTTCATATTATTCTGCATTGCTGTAATATGTAGTCCTCTATAGCAAGTTGCCATTCTCCATTATTGTATAATGTATTGCTGGGATTTGTAGTCCTCTGTAGCCGGATGCCATTCTTCATTACTTTATAATGTATTGCTGGGATTTGTAGTCCTCTATAGCTGGAGCCATTCTGCATTGCTGTATAATGTATTGAATGTATTGTGTATTGTATTGAATTATCCTTCGAACCAGAGGGGCAGCAGTATGGATGAGGTGGTGATATAATGGTTGTGGGGGGGGCGCAACATTTTGTTCTGCCCCGGGTGCCCATCAACTCTGGTTATGCCACTGCTTAGATTGTAAGCTCCTTGAGGGCAGGGACTGATGTGCATGTGTGTAAAAAGTGCTGAATATATTGTCAATGCTATATAAATACCTGTAATAAAAAATGACATGACTAATTTTGCCTCAAGACTTAAGTTCAGGAGTGTATGATATCTGAGTAAATTAAGCCACAAAATGGGTAGAACAGGAGTACAAATGGTGAGGTCAGCCAGAGATGAACACTGAAGTTAAAGAAAAATCTAGATAACACAGGGATATGTCAGGGTTCCAAGTCGTGTGTAGGATATCAAAGGTCAGGGCTTTAAGTTGAGAATCAAGGTCAGACAAAAAAAAACACAAATATTAGGACTGAAGAACGGTCACGCCTAAGCAGATCATTTTCTATATATTGGAGCAATCGCCACATGCAGCTCTTGTCCAGAAAAGCCTCTTGGATGCCCCATCTGACAATAGGTTTAATTTTTTTATGGAGGCCTTGACTGGAAATGGGGTGTAAGTCTTTCCCACCAGGGGTACAGCGTTCCATGTACCTGCTGACATCTCTTATGCTTATGCCCCAAGTGAAGTTATGAAGGCCTCAAAGGAAAAGTAATCTCAAAATTAAATTGAACTGTGTTCAGCTGTTCTGATGAGAGCAGTGCAAAGCATTTGAATAGGATATATTTCTTGTTAGCAGGACCACAATGTATCCTACAGGTAGTAATGGGAGAAAGTTTTGCACTGCAGGAGCTGGAACATCTTCCTCAACAGCTGTCTACAAGTACCCTAAAGCTTGACATAGATATGGTATGGACGCTAGACAGGAGATTTATCCAACTGGTTTTTAAACAGGCAGCAAGACTATCCTCAAACTTAGATCTTATCTCATTAAGGAAAATAGCAAACTATTACTTGTCATGAATGACTGGCTAGAGGTATCTTTTGTTGTCCACAGACATGACAATCATTTGCATTGTATGGCTAAAATCATTCTGGTCTGGCTATTTCATCTGCTTGAATATTTATAAATTGTTAGCTCTGCATGAAAGGTGTAATAAAATAATTATCCTAAACATTACGTTTTTTCCTGCACACAGATACCTACCAAAGAGTCTTTTTCGCAAAATGGCTGCATTCCATTTTATCGCTCTACAGCAGCATGTGGAACTGGAGATCAAAATGTCATACTTGGAATACCATCTGCTGAGAATCCAAGAGAACAAGTTAACACTTTAACTTCATTCATTGATGCATCTACAGTCTATGGCAGCACAGCAGCTGTAGAAAAGAAAGTGAGGAACTTTTCCAGTGAGGAAGGACTGCTGAGAGTAAATACTCAATATTTTGATCATGGAAGAGACTACATGCCATTCGTAGATGACACTCCATCACTCTGCCTTCAAGATCCTCATTCTGCTTCTAAAGAAAGAATTGAATGTTTCTTTGCTGGTGAAAGTAGGTCAAATGAAGTCATATCTTTGGCAGCAATCCATACATTGTGGGTGAGAGAACACAATCGATTGGCCAAAGCTTTGAAGAACCTCAATCCTCACTGGACCTCTGAAACAACATACCTGGAGGCTCGAAAGATTGTTGCTGCTTTACATCAGGTTAGTATATAACAGTGGCAGGCAGCCAGTAAGGTTTTGGAGGCTTTAAATCAAGTTCCAATTTATCTTAATAGGCTTATTATTTATACATTTGGTATGTAAATGTGCTTTGTATAATGTATTAAAGTGTTTGGCTAGTTAAAAAAAACATATTCAGCAGTGAGCTAACAAGTTGCCTCTGCTGCACTGAAAATCCAGTGTTTTTAACTCTGCTTGAGTTTTTCCCTGCTGGACAACAGAACACATCCTTCATATGTTTTGAAGATGAGGCAAGAGGTTACATAGTTACCGTAATTTCCGCTCCATAAGACGCACTTTTTTCCCCCCCAAAAGAAGGGGGAAAATGTGCCTGCGTCTTATGGAGCGAATCCCGACGCCCGAGACATGCAGTTTCGGGCGCCAGGCGAGTAGTTTTTTGTACATTTAGCCCTGCTAAAGCAGAGCTAAATGTACAGTAGGAGCCACTGCTCGTTTAATACAAGTGATACGATTAGATCACTTGTATTAAAACCGAGCAGCGGCGACGGCGGCGGTGATCGAGATCACCATAGAGCAGACAAAGAACGTCTGCTCTCTGTGATCACTGAGACCGTGGTGCTGTTATCACAGCACCACCTGTCTCAGCATTCACTAACTGCAGCTTCTGTTACAGCTTCTGTCACAGAAGCTGTGACAGAAGCTACGGTCTGTCGAGTGTTTCATATAGCGTCCTATGGTCCGGTGCGTCTTATGGAAACGCAAAATGCGGTACATATTTACATAGTTAGTCAGGTTGAAAAAAGGCACAATTCCATCAAGCTTAACCTATAGAGATGAGGGGGAAAAAAGAAGACAAAACTAAAACAGAACGCTATGCCCACAGTTACCCACTGTTGATCCAGGGGGAGGCAAAAAAAACCCTATAAAGCATGGTTCAATTTGCTCCAACAGGGGAACAAAATTCTTCCTCACCCCGTAAGGCAATCAGATATTCCCTGGATCAACAATCTCTAGTGCTTAATATACCTTAGGGTTAGGGTTATCAATAAATTATCAAAAAAAAAAACTCAATATCCAGTAATATACTGTGCATTTAGGAATACATCCAGATTTTAATTGAGTTAAGCTAGAACTAGCTTCTGGTGGAGTCTGGTCCACATTTTTACAGCTCTATATGGTGGCTCTTATACTGTAGGTGGTGCTCTATAAGTCAGCAGGGGAGAATTCAGGCAGGGTTGTCAACACTGCTTTGGAGAGATGCACTGCATGGTTTTTTTTTTATATGTTGCCCATACATACAGTTTAGTCTGCCTTTGAAACGACTCTCTTTGATGGGCTCGTCAATTCATGGGCAAGTATGCAATCTGTAATGACCATAAATAAGTACTATGAAGTACAGCTGAAAGGAAAAAAGCAAAAAAAATGTTCCCATGATCAGGAAACTGTATTAACATACACTCACCGGCCACTTTATTAGGTACACCTTGCTAGTACCCAGGTTGGACCCCCTTTTGCCTTCATAACTGCCTTCATTTTCTGTGCCATTGATTCAACAAGGTGTTGTAAACATTCCTCAGAGATGTTGGTCCATATTGATATGATAGCATCACAGACCCAAAGTGTGCCAAGAAAATATCCCCCACACCGTTACACCACCACCACCACCACCAGCCTCCATCCATGCTTTCATGTTGTTTAGGGTTAGGGTTCATCTCGAACCAGTCCGCCCATTCTCCTCTGACATCATCAAAGCATTTTCGTCCACACAACTACTGCTCACGGGATATTTTCTCTTTTTCGGACCATTCTCTGTAAACCCTAGAGATGGTTGTGCGTGAAAATCTAAGTAGATCAGCAGTTTTGGAAATACTCAGACCAGCCTGTCTGGCACCAACAACCACCTCACGTTCAAAGTCACATATATCCCCTTTCTTCCCCATTCTGATGCTTGGTTTGAACTTCAGCAAGTCATCTTCACCACATCTAGATGCTTAACTGCATTGAGTTGCTGCCATGTGATTGGCTGATTAGCAATTTGTGTTGCCAATCAATTGAACAGGTGTACCTAATAAAGTGGCCGGTGAGTGTACATTCTATATCTGCTCCAGGTTTAACCTACAACATGGGAAAAATTTGTGTCTTTCCTGGTCAGTCATTATATACCATGAAAAAAGCTCATGTCCTTACTTTTTCAAGTGTAAAAAAGTGGAATAAAAGTATTATCCATACTGCCACAAGTGTGAACACCTTCATTTGCCTGAGTCTCTGTGGGTTCATTACTAGCATACAGTAAGCCTTATGATCTGTGGTCAGGTTCTCAACTAGGAAATTGGGGGAGAATATGTGTGCCACTATGACCTAGATTTAGGGTGAATATCTAGTGGCACTTGCTGTAAAAGTAGAGGTTATATTCCACTTCAGGCTTGCTTTAACTATAGTTTGTAATGATACTTTAAATATGTTCCTGCCAGACCTGATTTAATTGAAAGCATCCATTATATTACATTAACTTAAAAATGCATTAAAAATCTGAAAACATATTCTCGCCGGGAGGTGCCGGACTGGGTAGCGATGGAGTCGCACTCAGCCTCTAGGGTGTCAGTGGACTCGCTGATGTGGATGGCCTCCAAGGATAAGCCCCCATGGTATTGGCTCCGACATTATCACACTCGTTGGCACTGTGGGACAGGCTACGGAGGAGCTATCCTTTGGCCTCCCCCCATATGCCTCTAGCCCCACTTTTTGGAAATCCCCGTTTTCTCCCCGGACTACAATCGCAGGGTTTCAAATGGTGGATTGATAAAGGCTTTTACCCTATAGGCAATTATTATAAAGATGGTAAACCGTTAAAGCAATTGTATTACACTGACAGGTTGAGCTTGCCCCCAAGGGAGCTGTTCCGCTTCAGACAAATCCGGCAATTTTTGTCCTCCCTTGGCTCGGAGCGGGACACCTCTTTGGCTTTTACCCCCTACGAGAGATTTACTCACTGTTCCTGGAACATCCTATAAAATTGCCATACATGCTAGCTTGGGAACGTGAATTTCATTAACTCTTCCCTTAGAGTCTTGGCAGAACTGCTGTTCGAGACTCTCCCGGGGTCTACTTCATATTTCCCTGATTGAGGCAAACCTCAAAGTTTTCATGCGCTGGTATCTTGTCCCTTCCAGGCTGGCGACCATTTTTCCGGATTCATCCCCTCTATGTTTCCGAGGCTGCTCAGAATTGGGTACTATGCTACATACATGGTGGCTCTGCCCTCGTTTGTGCCCTTTTTGGAACAGAGTCTTTGCATTGACTTATCGGGTTACAGGAGTGAGGGTTCCTAGAGATCCACAATACACACTTCTTAATCACCCTATTCCATCGGTGACCAAAACTTTAGATAAACTAATTGCCTTTATTTTTATAGCAGCCAAGATATCTATTGCCAAAGCCTGGAAGACAGACAGGGTACCATTCGCCTATTTCAAAAGTAAGATGTGCGGGATAATGACGCATTCAAAATTGACAAGCATACTACAAGATAGACACAAACAGTTTGGGGACGTGTGGGGCTTTTGGATGGCTTACATGAGCATGTAAAGGGTTTACTGGAATGACTAAATCTGCAACCTGTTTTGTATCCAACCTGAATTGATAATACCTGGGAGGGAGTAATAACAACATCCTTGGAACCTTCTTTATCTTTACCTTTCTTTCTTTCTTTCTCTCTCTCCTTTATCTAGTCCTTTTGTACTGTCTGATTGATCGGCCCTTAGGGGATATTTGACCTTATTAGTCTTGCACTCTTGAGGAAGTGTGCAGTAGTTTCAAGATTGGTTGGCCTAATGTTTAGTGGCTTCTGGCCATGTATACTAGCTTGAGGATAATATGGAAGGTGAAAGCAGTTTTCCTAGAATCCTGTTATCTAGGGCTGATCGAAATGTCTTTGTCTGCATTTCTCATGTTATGTATGTTATTGTACCTGAGTTATGTATACTCTAGGTTTTCAAAATAAGAAAATTTAATAAAAAATACTTTGAAAGTAAAAAAAAATATCTGAAAACACTCAACAGTATGCATGTGAGCACTAATTATCCACTGCTAGATAATCTCCATGGCCTTTTGAAGTTGAGAGTTATGATTTTGTCTATGTGTCTGACTATATGCATTCGTCACAATGTTGGCTGCAAATCATTGCTCTGGACTGATTTCCTAAAAGTAACTGTGTACTGTGCCCATGAAATGTGGGTCAGCACGGCTGCTTGTAGTCGCCATTGGGAGCAGGTTTGACAGGGTGACAAACACAGGAGCACAATTGGGAGAAGGTTGCCTCCACATAAGATGTGTTTGAACAAGGGTTTTCATTGCAGGATCACGAGATAATCTTTTAATTAAAACTGCAGATTTACAAATGTTGAAAAATAGCTGATTGTGTTATACTGTACATGCAATAATTGGTAAAGTAAATTGCAAACCATTAAAAGAGCATACAGATTTTTCTGAACAGATTGTGTGTTAAAGTATGTCAGAATGCTTTCTTTCTCATGTAAACAGAAGGCTCTATATATAAGTTTTCCAATTTTGTAAGCGAATTCTTCCTTTCTGTAAAAAACTGTATTGCTTTGTCAGTAAATAGAATGTAATATGAAAAGAAATATAGTATGGAACCTTGAGGATATAATGAAGAAGACTTCTAGACAGAAAATTTTGTGTGAATATAAAACATTTATTTCCTCATTGCATAAAGCAAACTTCTTTGCAAGTAACAGGCATAAGTACAGTACATAGATCTCAGGCATGAAGACATAAGGAAACATAAAAGAAGAATTTGTGTTTTAGTTATAGATAAGAGGTTTTTAGGAACTACGTTTAGCCCGGCTCCTTTCCTGTACTGAAATCATTTTTAATGGTATCCTCTAGCGCCAGTGTTTACGTATCCACAGATATTTGATAATATTCTCCCAATCTAGGTTTAGCTTTTTAGCTGGATACAGCGATTATCTAATGTCTGCAAGGCAGCTCCTTACAGCCTCAAACAAATGTCCTTGGGGAACAAAATCAGTGGGTAAAACCTTACCCAATAATTATTCCTTCCTCCATGGCTCAAAACATGAGCACCCATGGAAAGAGATCACTTTTGTTTAGAAGAGGAACTCTCCTGGATGTCTTATGGAAGACTCTTTATAGGTTGAACTTGATGGACTATGTAACTATATGTAGCATATACAGGTGAAACTCGAATAATTAGAATATCGTGCAAAGTTCATTTATTTCACTAATGCAACTTAAAAGGTGAAACTAATATATGAGATAGACTCATTACATGCAAAGCAAGATAGTTCAAGCCGTGATTTGTCATAATTGTGATGATTATGGCTTACAGCTCATGAAAACCCCAAGAACCCCAAATCCACAACCTCAAAAAAGTAGATTATTACATGCAATCAATAAAACAAGGATTGTACATAGAACAATATCGGACCTCTGAAAAGTACAAGCATGCATATGTACTCAGTACTTGGTTTGGGCCCCTTTTGCAGCACTTACTGCAATTACTTTTGCAAGATATTCTAATTATTCGAGTTTCACCTGTATGTAGTGTCTTCATAAGACAGAGTGTATATCCTACAGTTATCCTATATCTGTCACCAGCTTTAGATACCTTTTACCGTGCCTTTTTGGCCCTTCAGCTCCTGTGCACATCAAGGAAACTGGGGTTGATTTACTAAAGGCAAATACGCTGTTCACATTGCAATGGGAATGTTTTGCTTTGCTTAGTAAGGGAGGTCACACTCTACTGACTTCTATTATTCAATCATGTGCAAGCAAAAATGCTTTTGTTTATTTTTATTTCACATTATTAGATATTCTTCGCAAAGTAAATTTTCAACACATTCACTAACCACAGAAAATTTCCTTGCAAAGTAGAAATTATCTTGCAAAGTGAACAGGCTATTCAGGGGCTTAACTAGAAATTTTGTAAGGGCCTCCCCGCAACTTGACATGACATCTCATCCCCCCCTCTCCGCAACCTTCCCCCTACCCAGGGCCGGATTTACTCTCTCTGCTGCCCCAAAGCCAGGTTTCCCAATGTGCCCCCCTACCCACCATCCCTTCTACTCCCTGCTGCCCCGAGGCCGGGCCTTGGTTGGCCTTGTGGGAAATCCGGCCCTGCCCCTGCCCCATTCATGTCAGTTGAATTCCAGATACACTCCCTGCCCGCAAACAATAGTGTATGCACAATTTTTAGTGATTGCACCACACTTGGATGCAGGGCATTGTGTTACCATGCGTTCTGGTGCAGCTGATGACACGTGGTCACACATCTTAATGTAACCATGCCCAGTTTTTCGGCATTGGAATATGTGACCGGCAAAAGGCGAAGAATTCCAACGCTTTGTCAGCTGGTCCAGGTCAGAACAGCTGATCGGTCCTGAAATGTCACTTCTATTGGACTTTGTGGAAGTCTGATAAAAGTAATATTTCAGGACCGATCAGCTGTTCCAGGGCAGATCGGTTCTCCTACACATACGATCTGCGATACCGATCTGCCCTGGAACAGCTGAGAAATCGTTTGAATTTTTCACCTTTTGCCATTCACAAATTTCACCGCCGAAAAAGTGGGCGAGATTACGTTAAAATGTGTGACCAGTCACACATTCCACCGCTAAAAAACTGGGCGGGATTACGTTAAAATGTGTGACCGGTCACACATTCTAACGCAGTCACAAACTTTGATAGAACAGACCTGTAGCGTCTGTTCTATCAAAGAGACCACCCGCTTTAGAGACCACCCGCTTTATCCAAAACTTCTACTGAACGAAGTCTTCTTTCGGCCATGGAGGATAATAAAAGAAGGTAACATCAGACACCCCCCCAACATGCAGCAGAGATCACCAGACTTTCAGCAAACAGAGATCCCCCCATGCAACAGATATCCTTACAGTTCTTCGCAGCACAGCCAGAAGAGGATCTCTCTGATCAGGCTGCTGCTCTGTGCATCCTCACGGCCAAGGCCCCAGCAAGGCTGCATCATTTACTGTGAAGCTGTGTTCTGTTCACCGGCCGCTGTCCTCCCCACATCACTGTGCCTGGGGCAGCCGCTCCTTCGCCCCCCCCCGCTTGTTACGCCACTGCCTGTGTGCGCTCCTATCTCGGGACCCGGCCGGGAAGCTTACAATCTTGCTCCTGACCGGGCTATGGGATGTCAGTTCTATTGCTTGTAAGAGTGGCAATAGGCTAGGTAATATTCAAGACTAAGGACAACGCCAGACCAGTAACAACTCGCCAGGGGCAGGATCTCTATACAGGACACAGCAGGGCAGTGAGATTCTCATCTGTATGTGTGGCTCTCTCACTGTCTGTATGATCGAGGCATTGCTCTCTCACTGGGGATTCACATTCTGCTGCTTCTTTATCAGTGAGGGATTGACAGCTTGCTCATCCAACCAGCAAGGGAGCACTAAATGCAAGCAGCTGAGTATTTTAGCACATTTTAGTGATTCAGTCTCTGGTGAGTTTGCATAGCCAGTCCTTGCAATCAGCAGCCTATGCACGTTTTAAATGCAAACATGGTTTTGTTGTCTAATCGTTTACTACATATGAAATATTCCATTTAGGAAATGTAAGCAGCATGGCAATATTGCCCGTCTATTTTTATTTCTGCTGGGGTAATAATAACATTTTTATTTTATCTTCCTTCTGAATTTTTCCACCGTTCTATACAAGTATGCTAACAATATCCTTTTATTGTATTTTTAAGAAAAAAAAATGACATGCTCACAAAGACATTTAGCTGTTTCAAAATGTATTTCAAAGGGTGCAAATCTGATTAAACATCTGTACAGTGTTCCATCGATCTGCGCCCGGGAACACACATTAGATATTCTTCTGCAGAACAAAACCAGATAAGCGGGCTGGATATTAGATTAAAAGCAATAGCTGTTGCTGCAGAAATCGGGTGCCCAAGATAAAAAATGTTGGGATGGCTAATAGCACAAAACATGGAAATGTTAAGTCATACAACGGTTGTTTGGCAGTAAATATAAGGTCAGGAATTCTATTATGAACCACTTTTTTTGTCTTCAATTTCCAGTAGTAACAGCTGGACAGAGAGGGAGTGCTGCAGTCCAGGTCATCAAGGCTAATAGAAAATAAAATTAAAAAAACAACATAAGCTTGGCAAGTTTTCACAGTGCATGTCTTAATAAGTGGCAGCCTAAAAGCACAAATCTAGAATTTTGACAAGAAACAGTAAAGACTGCTTACTAGCGCTGTTATTGTAATCTGGAGCAAGATGTTCGGCTGTAAGCTCGGCTCTGTGTGCCGGTGACAAGAAAACAATTTCATTTTAGGCAATTGGGGAAAAAACACAATCCTCTATGGGTTGGCTGATTAGAATGCATGGAGAGGGGATTTAAAGATAAAACAGGAGAAATATGATCAGGTAGCAGGGAACAAGGGAGTGAGTTGCTTAGATAATGATAAACACGGATTTCATAATTGAGCCTGTGTAGGTAAAGGCAGTTACAGAATTATTGCAGTGTACAGAGCTGTGCAGGTCCTCACAGTAGCCAGTCAGAAATCTGCTTTCAATCTCCTCATGGCAAGATAATAAAAACATGACTGTTATTATACTGACCTACATCCCTTGCTTTATGAAAGAAAACTAAATAGCCATTCTTTAATAAGGCAAAAACTATGGATGTTCAGATACCAAGTACAAGCACTGATACTTTTCCAGCTCCAAGACTAGACTAGAGAAAACTCAAAAGTTAGGAGGCAGCTGTAATTTTTTAGGAGCATTGGCTACGGGGCTCCTGGGATTTGTGCATCCCTGTATTAATGTGTGATTTGTGTGTACCAGTACTTATACTTGTCCAAGTACTCACAGATACAAGTATAGATACATTTTTGTTTAGTGTCATGTGACAGTTTTTCTAAAACAATACAGACTAATGATTTCAGGACAGTGATGGAGCGTCAGGGCCCAGTCGCAGCTGCAACTGATGCAACCCTGGTAATTCTTGTGAAAATGCCAAGTATCCAGCACTGGTATCTGAACTGGTATCTGAACATCAATAGCAAAAATCAATATGTATAGTCTAAAAGAAAGGAAGTAAAGAAAAAGAAGAAAAGGAAGGAAGAAAACAAAGAATGAAGGAAAGGAGAGGAACAAGCAGAGATAAAAATAGGAAAGGGAGGAGAGAGAAAGGTAGAAAGAAAGAAAAAGATAGAAAGATAGATAGATAGATAGATAGATAGATAGATAGATAGATAGATAGATAGATAGATAGATAGATAGATAGAATCTTACAATATCTTTCACAAATAACCATCCATAAATATTGTATTTTTGTTTATTATCATTATTAGATAATCACAGTTCGCGATTATATTCCTAAAATCGTTGGTTCATCAGCCTTTCATCAGTATATGGGCAACTATCAAGGATACGATGAAAACGCAGATCCCTCAATTTCAAATGTATTTTCAACAGCAGCATTTCGCTTTGGCCATGCAACCATACCTCCCATTCTGCACAGATTGGATTCTCAGTATAGAGACCACCCGCTTTATCCAAAACTTCTACTGAACGAAGTCTTCTTTCGGCCATGGAGGATAATAAAAGAAGGTAACAATAAGCAAATGTCTAGCAAATTATGCATTTTCTGGGACTGCCGTCCTCATGATGGCGTCACAGACCTGTAGCAAGTATGTGTATATCAGATGTGCTGACTTCACTAGACGCATGATTTATCCTGTTCTAGTTTTTTAGGACTTGAGCAAGGATAGTGATCACAGCTGATAAGTTTGAACCTTCAACAAAAAAAGTTAGAAAAAGCAGCTCACATACCGTATCTCTATTGTGGCATGTATTCTTTAAAATTGGAACTCTGGACAATGAAAACTAAATAGGGATGCGCAGATAACGATACTAGTTTCGGTATCGGTGCCAATACCCAAATGCTCCCAATGCTTATCCCTATACTGGAACTTCCTGATTGGCCGGGAAGCTGTCTCCATGCTCCCTCGTCAGGAAGCCAGGGGGCATGTAATGACTTGCCGCCCGACTTCCTGAATGGTCAGGAAGCTGACCAATCATTACCCGCACCGGATTCCTGATTAGCTAGAAAACCGTCTCCATGCTTCCTTGTCACCTGATGATAAGAAGTCCTTAATGGGACTTCTGGTATCAGTATTCGGTATCGGTGAGAACGGAAAAAAAAATATCGGTACTCGTACTCGATACCGGAAAACCAATAACGGTGCATCCCTAAAACTAAACATGAATTATAATCCTCTGTTATATTCACAACAAAATTCTAAACCTCTGTTCAGGGGCGGATCCAAAGTCTATTCTCGGGAGGGGCACTGCCAGAAAATTAAGTTTTGCTTACAGAATGCTAATATTTTATTTAAGACGGTTTCCCGACCAACTACAATTAAGCCGGCCAAACAACATGCAGTCAGCTTCCCTGGCAATCAGGAAGCCGGACGGCATGTCATTACCCGCTGCCGGCTTCCTGATTACCCGGGAAGCCTGCTCCATGCCAGTGGAAGCACCGGTATTGGTATTCAGTATTGGCGAGTACCAAAAGCAAGATATCGGTACTCGCACTTGATACAGAAAAAGCGGCATTGGTGCATCCCTAGTTTTGATTAGAACAATTTTTTTGTATTGGGACAAGTAGATTGTCATGAAGGGCAAGTAGATTCGGCCCCCACTTTATCCCTTGGACAAGTCGTTTTTAAAAAAAAAATGTCCACACCCCTGGCAGCCCTTGCACTACATAGTTGTTGGTAGATCTAAAGGAGATTATACAATCAGACTGTAATGTGTGGCGAGCTTAAGGTGTCAAAACCATATACATAACAGCATGCTGGGAATACAAAAACACTGAAGTCTTTCCTAACTACCACACAAAGTCCCTACATTAAAGAGGAATTGTCACCTTATAATATAGATAATGTAAAAGTGACATAGAGGGTTGACACTGTGCTTGTTATACTTTATCTCTGGAGGGAGAGATCAAAGCCATATTTAATGAAAACATATTCTTAACTCTTGTTAATAAAGTATTGAATGTGACATTTACCAAACATTCACTGCAAGCAAATTCTTGTATGTGTATTTGTTTAAAATGACAGTGAGTGATTCACTGACAGTAAATGTTTAGTAAATGTCACATTCACTGCTTTATAAATATGTACTTTATGGTGTCTCTGTAATTAACTGTTTCTATGAACTCCCATCATTCTATAACACCAGTGGTTATCACTCCAAACACCTCTGGAATGCTTTCCAAACCCCTTATACAAAAGAGATGGACTTATGTATTACAGGTATTTATATAGCTCCAACAATATACGAGGTGCTTTACATAGTACACATTCACATCAGTCCCTGCCCTCAAGGAGCTTACCATCTAAGGTCCCTATATAACATGCATACAGGGCCAATTTAGACAGGAGCCAATTAACCTTCCAACATGTCTTTGTAGTGTGGGAGGAAACCAAATTTACCCAGAGGAAACCCACACAAGCACAGGGAAAACATGCAAACTCCTTGCAGATAGTGTCCTTACCAAGATTCAAACTGGGAACCCCCAGCACTGCACGGGAGAAGTGCTAACCACTAAGCCACTGTACTGACTGAAGCAACAGCTCAAAAATACACCCTACACTTATGAATACAAAATATATTTAAAAATGACACCCTGAAAATTCACCAAAATTTTCTTACAAAACACCATCAATGCTTCCCTCTTCCTTTACAATAAGAATGGAATTAATAATTATGACAGCTCACAAACATTAGATAACAGTCTCAGCTAGGTAACATCAGACCTCAGCTAAGATCTTTAGTATGGAACAGGTTTTTTAGATAAACTGGTTCTACTGGAATTTTCAGTCTATTTTAATCTATTTTGTCATCTTAGAGTAATCAAAAGGTTGCATACAATATGTAAGCACACTTTCTATACCTGGAGGCATATAGCTTATATAATCCAATGTGTGTTAAATAAATGCAAAGTTATTTCTCATTGACAGAGAAAATTGTTGCTAAAGATTGTTTGTAATAAGATCATTCACATGTCTGCAAGTTCTGCCTTGTGTCTATGGATAGCCTAAGGCAGTGCAAAAAGCCATCATAATGTATAAAGTGCGGAAAAGCATAGTAGCCTTACAGAAAAAGAACATCTCTTAAAGCATCTCTGTACTGAATCACTGCCAATTCCAGTAATCATACTGTACAGTTGCAAGCACCATTCAAAATCTGTATTCTCCTTGTCAGCAAGCATTTCTAAAACCAAAACACCATGGAAGTTTTAACTTTCCTTGCACGGGGCTAAAAACTGCTTACTAGCCCAAATTGTGACAGCACTCAGGTCTGACATATGGCCGTTTGGGGACACAGAGCCCTTAATTGTGGGAGTGCCCCATGTTCCACCACTCCCATAGGTACCATGTTTTCTTTTATTGGGGCAGTGGGAGCACTAGATAGGCAAGTACAGACTCCTGCTCGGTAACACATGTCAGCATTATTTCCCATAGTTGGGACTCTGTACAGAGCTGATTCAATTAATCTAACTACAGTAAACAGAAAACTTACATCTATGTGTTATAAATGAATGCACTTTGGACATCCAGGCTTTCATATTTTAATACTGAAAATGCCTGCATACTCATTAAAATGTGAGAGATCATGTTTTCTATAATTTTCTCGGATTAGTCATAAAATACTGTCATAACAAAATGTTTTACACTTTCAGCTAATGATGGGATTAAAGAGCATCAAGACTGTTTTACTGTGTCACAGTATATCTGTGAAGGTTCTCAGTTATCCAGGTCATTGTATAGTTAGTAGTATTCAGTCACAATGAATTGGACTTAGTCTGTAAGGTTGAAGATGTTTCACCATTCATCCAAGTGAAATCCTTAGTTTTAATGCATTTCAGGATCATACCCCATTTAAATCAACACGGCAACTCATTCACTTTAATCCAATCACCATGGTGTCATTTAATGTGTCAAGGCAGATGCTAATTGTCCAAGAACATGACAGGAGATATGAAAGTACACGGTATGTTGGGAGTTTTAAAAGATGCTGTTATAGTATCTCTCTACTGTGTACTTGGAAGATGATGTTGTCCACCCTAAAGACTGGTGCCTTATCATTGTAGGAGGGAGATTTTTGTATCCACTTTGACCTTCAGTGATATGCTAGAAGGAGAAGAAGCTCCTGGTAGGGCCAAACAAGCCAGTGGGAAGAAGCCTGACAAATTAGCAGTCCATAGCAAGGCCCAAGTTATGGATTGAACATCAGGGCAAGATGGGCTGTTTGCAAGGATAGAATAGAAGCTCCAGCTGTGGTTTGCACAAAAATAAAAAGAGGAGAAACAAAGAAAACAATAATCCAAGAGAAACAGTGTCCTAAGTACAACAGCCAGTCAGAAATAAGGTTTCAGTGGTCTGGCTGTCCTAAAACGATAGAGGGTAAATTCTAGTTGTCTGTTACAAATTACTGAGTTTTGCAGTCATCTGAAATCTTTTTCTTCTGTAGTTCTGACTAACACTGTGCCTGTAATATTGTATTTCAAGATTATTTTTACCCGTTTGCGTTATTTCACATTTAAAACCATTAAATTGCAGGTCACACTATTTTAATCTACTTCTACTTCTTATCATGGAACCCTGGATTATGTGTGTACTATATAAAACACAGACAGCATAAAATATAACAAAGGTTCTAACTCTGAAAAATGTCTTCCAGGGTACAAATCATCTTAAAATGAATGTTACCTTTATTAAAATTTCTTATCACTGATAAATAAAGGACTGAATCTAAATCAAACTTGGTTTGTTACGGAAATAATATTTTTATTAGATATAGTACAATCATTTAGTATCAGTAAAGTGTGCAGTGCTCTTAATATTTATTTAAATTTATAAATTTTAAAATTGAAAGTGTCACTAATGAATAATTCAGACTTATTAATTTACTATGGAAAATATGATTTATTTTTAATTAATATTTGTTTGTTGCCTACGAATTAATTAAGGCATAATAATATAGCCATTTTTGTCAGCTAATGTCTAATTTGTCAAACATCAATTAAAAGAATAATTTTAACACTTAGTAAAATTCAATAGAAGTAGTATCCAGTAAAAAATAAATAACAAAATAACATTTTATTTAATTCATAAGTTGTGGCATGAATCCATTTATAACCAGGGTTGCATAACTTAGGCAACCTAATTCAATAGGATGGTGTATAAAGCATGATGATGTACAAAGTGAAACAGCCAACAACAGATTTTAGTTTAATTCTGGTCATATCAATTAAATAATTATTTATGATTTCCTACTTAGCTACCGTTTGGGCACCAGCACTGCTTTTTGTACTATATTTATTCCTTTATTTCTTAAACAACAATATCAGGTATACCATACATGTCTAATATAAGGGAAAAAATGTATGTCACTGTTTCTTGACACATTAGTATGTGAGCAATGAAAACTATTGACATTTATAGTTAACTTTAACGATGGCTATATTGCAGAATGATAATGCTTTAAAGTGGACATTTAGCTATTAAAAAATGGTAGCAGGAAGGCTTTTGTTGCAGATGAGACTCTGTATATGTTTTCTGAAATAAAACCATCTTACCCACCTGCTAGCAATCTCTAAAGATGCAGATGCAGCTCAGTGTACGAAGCTGACATTCCTTGATGCCAAGATGAATTACCACCCAGGTGCAAGTGCTATAGGGGCACGTTTCATATTGCTTAGGATTTTAATTTATTAAAGCTCATCTCCAGCACCCCACCCACCACTCTTCTGCCCCACACCTTTGCGAGGCGGAAGAGTTTTCTTTTGACTTTTGTTTTGTTTATTCTTTTTATATTTTTATTTTCTAAAAATACAAAACCTAATCCTTAAGGTGAAGATGCTTAGTTGGGCCTATAGGTACTTTTGATAACCATCTGTGCAATATAGTGAAATGGAACGTGTAAAATTATACAGCAATCAATGCAGAATGGCATCTGCTATAGAGGACTACAACTCCCAGCAATAGTACATTATACTGCGTAATGCAGATTACCTCCAGCTATGTGGCCACGGGTAGCGGCCGTTTTTAAAAGCAGCACAGAGGCCCGGGGGGCAATTGCCACCCTGCCCCCCGGCCCAGTCTGCCCCTGTCTCTAACTGATTTCTGTGCTTTCAAGGAGACCCTGAATTTTTGGTGTACTCCATACAGTTAATTCAACTTGTGACCAGCTTCAGATAAAGCCCCACCTGTTCTTGGAGGCAGCTCTGCCCCTTCTGTTTAAGTATCTAATGTGAGAGTCTCCAAAGCCACTGAGGCGTTAACATTCAACTTGTGGAAGGGGGAAGAGTGGTGTTGTGGAGCTTAGCTGAAGGAAGCAATAATATAGCCAAGCCCCAAGTATGGCTGAGGGCTAGGTCATCTGTACGGAATGCTCACATGATCCCTAGATTATCCTATGTTTCAAATGTACAATTTTGTACCTGCAGGTGCACTTTAAAAATATCCTTTATTAAAAGAAAAAACCTCAATTTAAATTAGTTGGTTTGAAGCAAGTCAAGGAATACAGTGTATGTTATTATGAACACTTATTAGACAAAAATGTCTATTTAAGGAGCTACCTTATATTAAAGAAACTGCTATCCAAACTCGCAAATGGAATTCAACAGTATCCATTTTAAAAAATCCTTCCCATGTGACATGTCTCTCACATTTAATCTGTACATTGCATATATTAATTGATACTTGGGTTAATTTATACTGAATATGTTAATATATATATATATATATGTTTTATATTTTAGGTGGTTTAGTTCCATTGATAAGAGGTCTGTTAGGAAAACCAGCAAAGTTGCCGACACAGAAGGAGCTTATGAATGAAGAGTTAACAGAAAAGCTGCTTGTGCTATCCATTAATGGTTCAATGGATTTGGCATCCCTTGATTTGCAGCGGGGTCGTGACCATGGCTTACCAGGTTACTTTTCTCTTTTGTCCAGGATACATTGCTTTCTAAAGACCAAAGATCAATGTGTTGCAGGTGTCAGAAGTATTGTTATTTTCTAAAGAGCTGCCAAGAGTTATGTAAGTTTTGTATATATTCTTCGCTCTTTCAGGAAACAGTCTTCAAACTTTTTTTCATATCATTCCCAGAGCATTTTGAGATGTTTTATTATTAATGTCAAGACTGACATTTTTTCTCTATTTTGTTTGTTTTGAGAGTGCAAAGACCGTCCCTGTGGTAGAGGACAAACAATTTTTTTTCAAGTTTAAAAAATACGACCATGAAAAGGTTCTATATTTTCAAACTCTGATAAACTTTAAATTGCAGGGCAGGGAGGTACAACTTCGTCTATGAACACAGTATATTTTTCCACCTACATTGTCATGCAATGAGAAATGGCGTAACTTTGCTCACTAGAAAACTGAAGACAATTGCTTACAGTAATCATTGTATGCAATTGTCATTACACAATTTGATGCTGCTTTCCACATGATAAACTGTGGGTTATCATGGGTACAGGAAAGGAATTATTCCTACTCTGCTCTTTTATGTTTTGAACCAACAGCTTAAAGTCCTATTTCCATTTAGCTAAGTTCCCCCCATTCCCTTTCCCTTCCTTTTCTAGGACCCCCATCCCAGCATTATTTTTTTTAAATTCTCTTTCTATAATATTTTTTGAATTGGTTTCTTAACTAATCATGTAATGTCCCAGCAACTTTTTCTCTTTCTCTGTGGGTGCATTCTGAATGCTGCAGAGAGCGTTGCCAGGTAATGACATGGAGCTGTTCTCTGCAGAATTCTGTCTGTGAAGGTTCTCATTCATCCAGGTCATGGTATATCTGTAACTACACCTAAAGGAAAAAGGTCACTCCTTTGAAGACAAGTACGCATCCTAGACAGGAAGGAGGACTGGTTCAAATGTGAAAGAGGCCATTTATGTAAAAATGGAAAAGCCAACTTGAATAGAGGTGGTGGTGGTGGTGGGGGGGGGGAGACATCTACTGTCTGCCACATGCAATGCTGTTTTAACACCTCTCTCGGGGCAGGTTATTAACACCTCCTAGCTCCAATTATGCAAATGCAATCCACATAATCTGTTAGTCAAATCGGTTGTGACTAACAGATTATGTGGATTGGAACAGCATTCACCATATCTATTCCCAGAGAAATTTTGTTCAAGTCATTCTGAATTGAGAAAGCTGGTTGGATGACCAGTGAAACATCTTCAAGAAAAATACTGCAACTCCAGATGCCTTGACTTATTTTTTCTGCAGAATTCTCTTCCACCAGCTTGAGGATGTGACCCCTGGGGGTGTGTCTAGGGCTCATAGGCAGTGGGATGAATGACATTGGCATAATTTAACCATGAAAAACACTGGTAATGGACCATAGGGAGGATGCCTGGGGCAGCCCTGCAGCATGGTGAGGATGGGTACCTGTTAAATCAAAATTCACACTCATACTCAAAAAATATAATTTAGGCAGTCTGCGTATCCTTGCACAGTGATTATAATATGAATAAAGTCAGCACAACCACAACAAATAAGATGCAGAAAGAGTTTATCGTCAATGCAAAGCTTAGAATGAGATTACAATACAATGTTGATTACAAATTTTGGACATAAGTGTGACAGGCTAATATATGGTGCTCACATTACAGCAAATAATACATAGAATGCCCCATCCACAATAGTAGTACACATAAGCATACCAGAGATTAAAGATAGTGCCCTTATTAAGTCCAGTAGAAGGATGGTCTAGAGGTCCCCAAACAGACATTTCAGACTCAAGGTAGACCTCCTTGATTTAAATCTTTTTGCATTCTATTTGGGTGTGGTGACTATATTATTTATATAATATTTTATTCACCATATTTGATAGGGGGTGGGATAACTCTCTTGGAATTTTGGTTTAGCGCCTTTATTCCTTTCTTTCTTTGTATTCTCCTGTAAAGGTGTGCAGGATACCATATCTAACCAGTTTATGCTTATCCTTGAACACTCACAACATACTCTTAGGCAGTATATATGTTCTTAAACACAATAAAAGACAAATGTGCCAGATTGTGCAGAACATCACCATATTTATTAAAATAAGCAAAATACAAATTTTGCACTTACAAATTCAAAGGTTGGATTCATGGATAATCACAGGCTGTGGCTCCCTGGGAATTGTGTCAAGCCGTGATGCAGCAAAATGTGTTCTTCAGAATTTGAGATGAATGTACATATGCTGCCAACAGAAGAAACACAGGAGGGAACCCACACTGTGTACTGCCCCAATATGCAGTATGTGAAGCAGCGACATCTTTCTCCTGATGGAACACCAAAGCAGTTAATGGAATCTTGCTGCCGTATGGTACTACTTGCAAAACTTATTTTTTAATACAAGAGGGAGGGGGAGCCAAAATAAAAAAATTAAGCTGGACATTCTGCCATTTGAAATAAAATCTGTCCATTAATTTATTGTTTTACAGGATACAATGACTGGCGAGAATATTGCAAATTACCAAGATTGGACACTTCAGCAGACATGACAATGGTTATTTCTGATGCAAAAATAATCAGTAGAATTATGGAGCTATATGAGCACCCTAATAATATAGATGTGTGGCTAGGTGGCTTAATAGAAGATCTTCTTCCTGACTCTAGAACTGGACCTTTGTTTGCATGTCTAATTACAAAGCAAATGAAAGCACTGAGAGATGGAGACAGGTAATCAAACATTTTAATCTTATGTGATATAAATGGCACAATCCAGCCTTCCCCTCAATTTACATTTGTCTCTATCCCTGTGACTCAAATGAAGTAGAGGCAAACCTCTGCAATAGGCACCCTTCCAGTGAGCTTTAGTGTTCTAAGACAAACGGTAAATGTGCAAAGGATACTAAAACAACAGGATTTTTTTTTTCTTGAATATGACTGGACAATCAAGATTAACACAGCTTCATTTTATTTACAAATTTCGATGGATGTTCACTTTGTAAAAGTAATTGGATGCCTTCCATAGCTGCAGTTACAGTGGAGATTGAAGACAAGATAGACGTAAACAGATCAACGTTTATACATTTGTTCCTATGACACTATCTGCAAGGAGTTTGCATGTTCTCCCTGTGCTTCCATGGGTTTCCTCCGGGTACTCTGGTTTTCTCCCACATTCCAAAGACATGCTAGAAGGTTCATTGGCTCCTGTCTAAATTGGCCCTGTATGTATGCATGTGAGATAGGGACCTTAGATTATAAACTGCTTGAGGGCAGGGACAGGTATAAAGTGTTAAGTAAATTGTATATGCTATATAAATACCTGTAACAAATGAGGGCATGAAAAAGCAGATGTAAGAGGTTAAATTGGCAAACTAGCTAGTTATACCTAGATATACTAAACAAACCTATTTATTTTATTATTTGAGCATATGTAAAATAGATGTGTCAGCACATATAATGCATAATTGTTTGAGCTGCAGTGGTGAGCTTACACTTTAAATCTGATGAGAAGCAAACCATGTAACTGAAACAGAGTAAAGCATCACCACAGTCTGACTGTCTGCTTATGATTAACTGAAGCCTCCCTACAGAGTTAAAATGACTGAACTGGGACACACTGATATATTTATCACAAGTCAACCTATATCTTGGGACACCCATGTATATCTGCAAAAGATGGAGGAAATGCCGCATGAAAAATAGACTGAACATCTAACAGTCTGCAGAACTAAAACATGAACATGCTGAAGGCAACAGCTAAAAATATACATTTATAAATGAAGTGCTACAACCATATATTTCTGAAGAATTTGAGTTAAAAAATAAAATAAAATGAAAAACAGACAGGATTAGTAAGCCGTAAAACTGGAATTGTAAGTATAAACCAAATAATAATATTCCTTTACTTTTAAAGGAGGTTGACAAAATTATTTCTGCAATTGCAGACCAAACGTAAAATCAATAAATTAACTTTTAATGCCATCTAGGAAACAATGCCTCTGTGCAAAGGTTAAAAAGATCTGTGTAAGGTCTGTTAAGCAGGTGATGGGACTTGTTTTGGCACCTTCTGTCTCACTCCCTCTCCACCACCATCTCAGCTACAGTCTGCACAACTCATCCACTGCTTCATAATGGAATGTTGGCATCCCGGCATCCCTACTGGATCTCTGGTCAACTCATCATTTGGCTGAAACCAACTCAGACATTTAATATCACTGCAGCATGTAGCAGCAGGCTACATTTTTACAGCTACATCACCTTTCCTCCAAATCACATGATCTACAAGAATATGCCACTGGCAGCTGTTTACAAGCCATTTTTTTTGCAATTTTGGCCTTTTTGACACTTGGGTCTCTTCTTTACTCTTTTTTTTAACTTAAAGAGAGTGTATATACCCTTACCAGTGCTCCAGTAACAGATTCTATGTTACTATGTAACAGATTCTGGGGAATTAGAATTTAAACACAAACTCTTCATTCTAGGATACAAGATCTACTGTTTGTGGGAACTTTTGGAAATTAATATTGAGATCCTTGATGCTCACTGCACTTTTTCAAGTAACCCATGGTGGTGGCTATTTTTCAGAGATCCGCATAAAATCACATATACGTTGCTATATTTTTTGTTAACTTTTGTCTGGCCTGTTAACAGCGCCAGACAAAAATCTCCTCCTCCTTCCTGTGGATCCACGCCACACGCAACCACTGAGACCAGCACCCCTGGTGAAACTGCACAGCCCTCCTAAGACCCCCCACACAGCCCAGCATAGACTTTGCACAGCTCACCATAGAAGCTGCACCACCGACCATAGACCCCGCACAGCCCCCCTGAGAGGAGGCACAGCCTAGCATAGACCCCGCACAGCCACCTGAGAGTCCACACAGCCCACCATAGAACCTTCACAGCCTGCCATAAACCCTGCACAGCCCACATGAGAGTCTGCCCAGCTGTAATGATCCGGTCAGGGGCTGTATAGATCTCAGCTACAGACAAGGCAATCTCAGTCAGAATAAGGATTTATTTGGGGTTCAGGGAAGTTACGTCACTTCCCTTAGAGTTAGGAGCAATTAGCAGTTTTACACAGTTCAGTAATCAATGCCAGTAGTAACAGCAGGTGTATGCACAGTGGGGCAAAAAAGTATTTAGTCAGTCACCAATTGTGCAAGTTCTCCCACTTAAAAAGATGAGAGAGGCCTGTAATTGGCATCATTGGTAGACCTCAACTATGAGAGACAAAATGAGAAAACAAATGGGAGAACTTGCACAATTGGTGGCTGACTAAATACATTTTTGCCCAACTGTAGTTTATGCAGCAGTATTTATTGCCAGTAGCAATAGCAGGTTACACAGTTCAGTAATCAATGCCAGTAGCATCAGCAGGTGTATGTAGTTTATGCAGCAGTATTCATTGCCAGTGGCAATAGCAGGTTACACAGTTCAGTAACCAATGCCAGTAGCAACAGCAGGTGTATATAGCTTAAGCAGCAGTAGCCATTGCCAGTAGCAACAGCAGGTGTATATTGGTAACATTCAAGCTACTAAGTGTAGCATATAATTGCAATTCTGAGGCTGCTTGTAGTGTGTCCATGTTGCTGGCAGTGGGGGGGAAGAGGAAAGCATTCCAGGCATAGGAAGGGTGTCCTGGGAGTCCTGGCATGCAGTGCTGCGGTTATGACTCCTATTAGCCACGGGTTTGAGAGAGGTTTAGCAGGGAGCTGTGGAGAGAGCGGCCGGCGTTTACCTCATTGCACGAATGACGGCCGATTGATCATTCACAGCTTAAGTCTCTGAGGGGGGAGGAGGCGGCTGACGACGCCGGAGAGAATCATACCCTGCGCCCCCTGTGGAGCGGAGGTCAGGTGAGCATGTCACACCAGCATAGACCCTGCATTGCCCACCTGAGAGTCCACAAAGCCCACCATAGAACCTGCACAGCCACACTCATTGCCATTTTTTTTCCTAGACTTCTACTTTCAGAGCTAGTTATTAAGTTATTACTAAAACCAGTAGTAATTGAATGCAGAGGCAATTGTTTAGTATGATAAATGTATATAGTCTTTCAGATACAATGGCTCATTGAGGTTGACACCCCTGCTCTAGATTATCAGTGTATTACCTAATAACCGAGCAAATGCATCATGGTTTTATTCTTGACTTGCATTTTCTTTATACTAGTTCCATATTTAGGCGATCCTGATGCTGGCAACAACAGACAAGCATCAGAATCACTAAAAGACCTCTTACCAGTCTGTACTGAATCACTCCTTTGCTAACCAGGCCAAGTAAGCCTGGCATTTACTGATATCAGTGGGCAAAACCTCTTAACAATCTAAAGTACTCTGTAGCTTGAGAACATCATGTGATTTAATTAAACCTATCTAGGGGTTGATTTATTAAAGGCCATCAGCCAATCATATTCAAGAACAAAGCTGTTTTTCTTATTTTACTTGCAGATGATTAGGTATTCTTTACAGAGTGAAGTTTTACCACAACTATCACACTACCCAAGCTAAGGGAAACTTCCCCTGCAAAGTGCAAATTCATTTACAAAGTGAACAGCCTTTAGTACATCAACCCCCTAGTCTCTATAATTGATACAACATTTGTCTAAAAAACACATCACTATTTATTTGGGCTGAGGTGTTCTAAAAGTTTTATGACAACCTCAACCAGGAACAAGGTAAAGACGTGTCAGCCATCTATTAAACATCTAAGATTTTAAACTGTGTTAACCAAAAATTCAGAATCTCAAACTTACTTGAATTTGGAATGGGAGAACACTTCCGGAAATGAAAAAAAACAGAGCTTAAGTCACCTTGTAAATTAAGTACTCCCAATAGAAACTATATGGAAGCCCGGAATCCCACAGGAGCTTTTACTCCTTCTGATATTGTTATGCATATTAGAAGAGTTAAAGCAACTGTGGATGTAATCATCCAACTACATGCAGAGCAAATATTGCAACCTTCATTTAGATAAAAAATTAAAACAAAGCAAAGCACTGAACCCCCTGAATCAGATATGTCATCGGCTCACTTCAAGCAACTATAATACTCAGCGCCACTTAGGGAGACTGACACTATTTGTGACTTAGTCATCAAATGTGAAGATTTGGATAACCAATCAAGATCCAAAAATATGAAACATTTCTTTAATCTCAGTCACAATATCAAGCAGCAAGCTTCCAACTCTGTTGAAACATTTTTAAATATATATTGGTTAGAAAAAGAAAATTCTGAAGCAGACAGAGCACACCTTGTGGGAAGATTATTCTAAAATACAAATGAACCTTGAAGAGATAAACTATGCAGAGTTAATTTCCCTAAGATTAAGGAATCAATTCTGCCTAAAGCTTGCTCAGTGAAATGGACTTTGACATAGAAACCTCTCAAGACGAACCTTTGCAAAAGCATGCTGAAACCAATTTTTGCTCCTGTATAGATGTAGTTTTCAATTTTCACTGATTGTTATGGTTAGAAATGAAATAATAAAGGTAAGAGGTGAAGATCCTGTATGCCCCACTTTTTTTAAAGTTATTTATAGGGATTGAGGGATGGGAATTTTGTACTCAAGTCAATATAGCACAGACAAAGATCAAGTTCAGATGCATCCATTGCCCAGAATGATTTTGCAATGGTATACACACAGTTTTGTAGTTTGACCCATAACTACATTTACTAGAAATTCCACATGCATACAGTCCCACCAGTGGTTATGTAAGAGCGTTCCTCTATTTGCTAATATGAGTTCTGTATAAGTTTTAAGTTAAGGTGAACTGTGCAAAATATCAGACTTCATAATGATTTAGATAAGACTTTAAAAAAAAAAAATATCAGATTCACTTTTCATTATAAGTGATTAGACTATTTCAAATTTCAAAACATCTGTTATCTGTTACATTTGCGAAACCTTTAATTAAATACATGTTTCTTTCAAAAAAAATGTTAGAAAACTTGTTTTTCATTATCACATACATTTTTTTTTCATTTTCTTTTCACCTTACAGGTTTTGGTTTGAAAACCCCATGGTGTTTACTGAGACTCAGAGAAAGGAACTTGAGAGGCATTCTCTTTCCCGTGTAATTTGTGATAATACAGGCCTGAGTCATGTACCACCTGATGCCTTTCTTACAGGAAAATATCCAGATGAATTTGTATCATGTGACAGTGTGCCCAGCCTAGATCTCAAGGTGTGGAAGGAGGATATCGAACAAAGTATGACATCTACTCATTACATACTTGCCACTTTTAAGAGTTTTGTCAATATTCAGAGATATTACTAGAAATTGTAGGATTATGTGCTAATTGTGCATACAGACAAGTACCTTTGATCATTTCAATAGAAATGGTGATGTGCTAAGACAATCTCCTATAACCCAACATGCACATTGACCTTCCATGAAAGGCTGTCTCCTCATAGAGCAATACATTCAACTCCAGTGTACCTTATTTTGGCTTAATGTGACACTAAACTCAGGAGTTAAATCTTAAAAATGCATTCAAGTACCCCAACTATTAACTAAAATGTATCTTATTTGTGTATCACTCGGTTGTAGATCCTCAAATCATCTCTGAATTGGTGCTGACACTGTCCTTCCTTCTGGAGGGTGGCTACTTTTGTTCCCCATGGTCCCTGTGTGTATTGTAAAGTAGCCACCAGTCCAAGCTCACTCCTGTGATGGACTATACTCTCAATTATTTGTTTACTAACTTGTATTGAGATTGTAGTCTATCATAGGAGTGAGCTTGGAGTGGTGACTACTTTACAACACACACAGGGACCATGGGTAACAAAAGTAGCCACCCTCCAGAAGGAAGGACAGTGTCAGCACTAATTCAGAGATTATTTGAGAAGCTACAGACGATACACAAATAAGATACAGTTTTTTTCAATAGTTTGGGTACATGAATGCATTTTAAAGGTTTAACTCCGGAGTTTAGAGTGACTATAAGATTAACATATCCAGAGCTCCAGATAAAAAGCATCAACAAAGCATGATGTTTACAGTGGTTCTGAGCCCCCCTACTCTAATCAAAACTAAGGAAATTTGTTTTCACTGGATGTGCACTTCAACCAAAACCTTAAAGCTAAACTCCAGGCAGATATAAAAGGCACAAATGAATGCAGCTCTGTAATAATTAACCATGTGGGTATCAGCCTGTATATACCCCTTTATTATCAGACCATTTTTCGGTTTTCAGTGCTGTGACAATTACCTGGTCATGCTACTCTGTACCCAAATTAATTTTATACCATTTTTCTTTCAGTGGTATGTAATAACCACTGGGTTTTTTATTTCTTACTATATAAAGGAAAAAAAGACTGAAAAACATAAAGTATTACATTTTTTGAGGCCCTAAAATGCCACCAAAATTGCTCCCTGTGATAAAACACATACCTTTATGCATGTTTTCTGTGAGTTAATGTGTGTTGCATTAAGGCTTAACACAGTAAATTGCACCAAAAAAGGTTATGTACTTTTTTTGTGCACCACAACACATGGCAGTGTAATGCACAGAACAGCTTGCGGATTTTAGTGCTTAGGAGTTAGTGCCCCTTATGATGGTGGTGAGTGTCCCTTTAAATGTTTGTGGTAATTGATGTGCGCCCACTTACGTATTGGTGAAAAGAAAATACTGCCCCATAACTGTTGGTGTCTTTCCACATAACATTGGTTCTTAGTGTGCTCCCTTTATGATCTATATGCCCCCTCTTTATGCCTTCGCTTTTCAGTGGGGTCAGT